ACGTGGAAACTCATTTCCAAGCCTTAGCACTGCAAATGTCTATGGTTTTCCAGCTGTGGAATCCTACACTGTAACCTTGGGGTAACAGTCCCTGGGAGGGAGAGACCTCACCATGAGGCAGGAAGACACTGAGGAAGAAACAGGTAGAAGTGATGACCACTCACCCCCTTCCAGCAAAAATGTGATGTGAGGCCTGGCTGGGTGATCCGGACCCCCTTGTCTCAGTCTAATCTAGGCAGCCAGCCACATTAGGAAATGGGGGTGCTGGCGCACTCGCCCTTCACAGTGAAGCCACAGCCCTCCAAGACTTGCAGTCTTTCCCGCCCCTCGATGACAAAGCACTTTTGGAGTATAAGCTCAAAACCCTCCAGACCAGAAGAGTGCTGAGTCATGGTGGCTGCCTACCACAACCTCCCCCCCACCCCCACCCCACCTCTTCCCCCTTCAGCTCTAAGAGCCAGTGTCCTCCAAAAAGAAAAAAAAAAGGGAGGGGGGGACACCTAGCCTGGCTTTTCTCTGGCCTGCCGTCCCTCCCACGGCACTGTTCCCAGCCCCAGGAGGTGGCTTTTCCCGGGAGGCCAGCCAAACCCCCCGCCTCCTTGAAGTCACGAGGCGCTGGGGCTGGAGAGGAAGGAGGCCAAATACTGGTCAGCAAAAGTCCAAAGAGCAGGTCACAGCTTTGGAAGAATCTAGAAGCTTGGAAATGGCAGTTCTAACACCCAGGGGTCCCAGAAAGTGGGGAATGGCCCAATCAAACAGATACACACACACACACACACACATCCCAGCACAAGATTTCTCTTTCATTCTCCCCAGTCAGCCTCCTCCAACCACCGACTACAGCCAGAGCTGCCCCTCAGTGTTGCCTTGAGGGTCACGGCCACTGTATATGTTCTATCCTAGCACAGAGCCAATACTGATTCATGAAACCGACTTTCTGCAACTGACCACCTTGGGATGGGTCCAACTCCCTGCAGGCTCTGTCCACCTGGATGTTCTGGAGGCTCTGAAACTCAGCACATCTGGTGCAAAAGCAAGCTCACCTTCCCCCCAACCTGCATTTCGTCCTGCATTTCTCAGTGAATGGCAGCAGCTATCCAGTTCCCAGGCCAGAAACCTAGGGGCTCTCTCACCCGCCTCCCACCCCTCACTTCCATCCTTCATGTTAGCCCATCTGCCACTGCATCCTGTCTGTGCTGTCTCTTCTGTGGAGAACCAGGGCTGCTGCCTCCCAACAGGTACCCAGCCTTTGGCCTGACTGTAATCCATTCTTCACATTCAATCCTGAAGCCATCTGTTGGCGCAGCAAATACGGAGCCCCAGTAACAAGCATCTTGAAAAATGCAGAAAGTGCAAGATGATGAAGATGGAAACACGCCTGCACTCCGGGAGCTTATGGTATCTGGTAGCAGGAAGGACAATCAAAGACTGACCTGTGTGTATAGAATATATAATTACCCATAGAAATATTATCTAGCGTAGTTACACAACTTCACTACTTACAGAGCCACAAATACTATGTTTGTCATCTGTATTTTAACTTGCTTTATGGGATCTTTGTCCTATAGCTTGTTGTTGTAGGATTCCGTTTATATGAAATTCTAGAACACACAAAGTTAATCAATAGTGAAAAATATCAGAAGAGTGGTTGTCTTGGGTGGGGGTACGGGGGAAACCTCCTAAAAAGGGATACCAAAGAACTTTCTAGGATAATGGAAATGTTCTGTATCTTATTTCAGCTGTATTCAAGGGTCAAAACTCATCTAAGATTCTGTGCATTTTGTTGTAATTCATTTTGAAAAAATCATGCATTTTTGCAAAGAAAACAATTTTTTTTTGGCTTTTTACCTACTTCATTCAAGTTTGCTCCATATTCCTATAGTTATACTTACAATTTTTCTTCTAGGTATGCTTCCCTCAAAGATTTAACTACATGTATCTTGGGCTTATCAAGTTTTTGTAGAACCACACCCCCTGTTCTTTTGTCTAAGCGCTTTGTCCAACTGAAAGGACTTACTAGGAACAATTTAATTCATTTTCACAAACTGTGTGACAGCCATATCCTTCATTTGGTCATTGTCTTGAGGATTCAGCCTTTGTTACTCAAAGTATTATTCGATTTTATTTTTTACCAGTTGAAAAAGACAAACAGTTCTAACTTCAATACCAGAAGTTCTGGATTCTCTATTTTCCTCTTGCCAACAGCCCGATTCTGTTCTAAATTAACCTCCTTCCCGTAATCAAGTACAGCCAGTCATCAAGGTGGTCTGGTAACATTCAGTTCTGCAAACTTGTTACGATTTGGAACTCTTTCAGAAATTGTAGTGTCATTGATTTTCTCTTATTTGGCAGATTCTCTCTCTTCTGAAGACTCTGGCTTTTTTCTTTGGTACAATCCTACAGTTGGTCATCCTCTGCCATCATCCCAGGGTGGCCAGGTACCACTCAGGCTCCTGTGTGGCCCACAGTCTCTCACCCATCTTCTGTGTCACTGACCCTCCTGGTCATCCAACTTTTCATTTTTTCTAAGTAGTCAAATCTGCCAACCGCCCATTTATGCCTTTTGACAACCTCAAAAGAACACTTCCTACCCCAGAATTCTAAAAGATAATCTTCTACACATTCTTCTAGTAAATTCATAGGTGTTTTGCTTTGGTTTTTTTTAAGGCTTGAATCTTTAAACTGTCTGGAATATGTTTTGAAATTCAGTGAGTCATTTTTTGCCCACATGACTATCAATTGTTTCAACATCGTGTTGAATCCACTTTTTCTCACCAAAATTCAAAATGTCACTATAGCATCCACCAAGTTCCTGTAAGTTTGTGGGTAGGACTGTTAACCCTTCCCGTGCTGGTACCAACTGCCTAGAGTACTTTATGCTACTTTTTTTAAATATCAGGGAAGGTAGATCTAACCTCATAACCTTCCACCCCCCCCCCCAGATGCTTGTCAGCTATTCCACACACGCACTCTTCCAAAAAAAACTCAGGATCATTTTGTCAAGTTCCAAAAAACACCATGAAGTTTTACAGAAATCGCATTGAATGTATGGGTTTCTTTGACATCTTTACAAAACTGAGGTTGGCTATCTAGAAACCTGGCATTTCTTCCTTTATGCAAGTCTTTTCTGTCCAGCAGCAAACATTTATAGTTCTCATATTCATCTATTTCTTGTCCACTTCATTCTTAGGTATTTGAAGCTTTTGTTGCCAGTGTAAATTAAAAATATTTTTCTTTCATTACATTTCCTAACTGGTGTTTACGGTTATATAGAAGAGCCCTGCATTGGATAACTCTGTACTCTTACTTTAAGGGTACACGATTTCTAAAAATAAAACAAATGTGGTATCTCCCTGGTTAGAAATCCCTTAGTGTCTCCAGATTCCCCAGAATAAAATGTAAACCCTTTTTATGGTACACAATCCTGTATCCTGTACCATCTTTCCAGCATTCACCAGGCCAACACATTTTCTTAAAGGTACCTTGGACAGGCCATGCATTTCCATGCCTTTACACCTTTGTACGTGCTGTTCTCTCTACTTGGAATTCCCCTCCCTATCTCCCTCCTCCACTCTACCTCCCTTCCAGCTTTTTCTTCAAACTTGCCTCAACTGTCACTTTCCTAGGGAAGCCTTCCTGACCTTCTATCCCAGACTAAGGTACCCCTTGTCTACACTCTCCCAGCAGCCTTCTGCTTATTTTTTTGTAGCTCTAGCCCCACTAAATTTTTTTTCCCTGAGAGCAACGTATGTTCATTTTTGAAATGATACAGTAAAGACCCAAGAAAGAGAAATCACCACTATTCCATCAGCAACTTTTTAGTATTTTAGTAGCGTTCCTTCCTTTTTTAAGGTTGGGAAGTTCAGCTTCCAGTTTCATGATGTGAACACCGTGGAAAGGGTCTTGGATAGGTCGCCCCCCTGTGTGGAAGGGCCTGGTAATGAGGGAGCCTGGAAGCCAGCCGACTCGGGGGACTGGAAGAAAGGAGCCTGGGTCTAGCTGCCACCCTCGAATTCACACCCACTCCGTGCCTGGGAAGCAGCTGCAAGCCAGACTCGGTGGCCTTGCCCTTCCTGGGTTTCTTGCACCTGGGACGCCTGCGGCGCATTCAGCCCCATCAGCTTCTCTCCAAGGGTAACCCTAGGAGGGGGATCCCTCCAAGGCCCCTCAGCTGAGTCTCCCGTGACTGGGGCCGGTAATGGCGGCCGTTGCAGAAAGGCCTCATGACTTCGTCTCCAGATCCAAGTGGCTTCTTCTTTCGTTTCTAACCCCCGCTCTCTCGATTTTCTCAGAAGCCCAGGGGCTCACCCCCACGGCTCCCTCCGGGAAGGCGCTCTTCGTGTCTCCGGGAAACACGCCCGCCCAGCCTTTGTTGTATAAGCTGCACAAGGAGCCATATTTGCTTTCAGCCGAAGGCGGACAGGGTCGCGGGAATCGGAGGGGCGGGGGACAGTCCGCCCGCGTTTTGCTCCCAGCTAGACCTTGAGGAAGAGAAAGCGAACCCTTTCCCAGCTCCACCTCTGACTCACACGACCTCGCAGGGCCCAGGTTTCCACTTTGTAATTTACAAGACGAGGAAATCACCTCGGGTGCGGTAACTGCTGCCCTACAGCTCGGATTCCTAACATGCCCTTGGCCAAGAGTCTCGGGGAGCCCGCCCGCGGGCTCAGACTCGCCCCAACGCCCCCAGGACCAAGGCCACTTTCCGTCGGTTCCGAGACCCAGGACGCCCTGGGCCCGGGGCTCGGGGCTGGGCTTCGCGTTGGTCCCCACGTCTTCCCTGCGGCCCCACAGACGACGTCAGGGCTCGAAAGGACGCCCGCCGAGCCCCACGCGCGGCGGGACACGCAAAGCCTCCCGCGGCGGGGCCGCCCCTCCCCCATGGCTCTGGGGCGGGGCCGCGCGCCCACCGGAAGAGGCGGGGCTCCGCCCTGCGGGCGGGCAGCTTGATTGGCCGGCTGAGCCTGACGCCCGATCCCGCTATAAGTAGGGGCCGCCGCAGACTGCGCCACATCTCCGCCGTGAGTCGCCGCGGGTTCCTGCTTCAACAGTGCTTGGACGGAACCCGGCGCTCGTCCCCTCGCCCCGGCCGGCCGCTCAGAGCCAGCCCTCCGCCATCTCCTCACAGTGTCCTCGGACCGCTCCAAGGCCCCCCGTCGCCGCTCCAGCGCCGCGCAGCCGCTGCCCGCCGCCGCCTCTCCTCAGCCGCCGCCATGACGACCGCGTCCCCTTCGCAGGTGCGCCAGAACTACCACCAGGACTCGGAGGCCGCCATCAACCGCCAGATCAACCTGGAGCTCTACGCCTCTTACGTCTACCTGTCCATGGTGAGCGCCCTCCTGCGGGCGGGGGCGGCATCACCGGGCGGAGGGGGGGGACCGGGGCGGGGCGGGGGTGTGGCCAAGGCGCTGGCTGTCCCGCCTCCGCGCGTCCTGCTGGAAAATGGACGGTGCCCGAGGCCTCCCAGCTCTTGCGTGGAAATTCTGGCCAGCCCGCCCTTTCCCACTGCCCCGTGGGAGGGCTCCCTCTCTGGCGAGGGCCGCCTCTGCGCATCGCTCTATACTTAAAAGAGCCTGGTTTCCTGGAATCCCAGAGTTGGAGCGGTTGCAACCTGTACAATCCTGCAGTTAGGAAAGTGGTTTTTTGTGTTTTCATCCCGCCTGCATCGGTCACGTGACCCGGGGCCATCCATCTGCCTGGGTAATGGGGGCGAAGTGGTCCAGCCCCCGTCTCCCCCTCCCACCCCGTATGGCGGAGCCTGCTGGGAAATGGTATCGAATGGCAACCAAGGTGGCTGAGGGGGGTGGGGAGCTGGTGCTAAGTGGCTTATCTCTCGTGGGCCGACCACTCTCCGAGCAGCCGTCGCCGCCACTCTGTTGTGCTTATCTCTGAGTCCCAGTTGAATTGAAGCGTGGAAATCTTTCTGCGGACACCGTTGTCCTAGTCCTCTGTCCTTTGGCCCGGGCACGCACGCACTTGGTCTTTTTTGTGCCTGAGAGTTACCGCTTGCTAATGGAACCCTTGGTTTTTAGATAAACTACACCAACGGTTACTGGGCAGAGAATTTTTCCACCCACTGATCAGTGGGATCCGTTTTCCAAAATTCTGTTTTTAGGCGGGGTGGTGGGAGTTTTACTTAGAATTGTCTTAGGATTGTGCAAGTTATCCGAGAACAGACAAGTTTCAGATGGGTTTGAAAACGGGCCTGGATTTCCCCGACTGCCATTCCATTTCGGGAACAGGTGGATAGAGCAAGTATCTAAAACTGAAGCAAATTTTTTGCTTTCTGCTGGCGATTTTTTTTGGTAGATACTGGCATTGCCAACAGTTGTCACCTTGACTAATAGGTTAATTTTAGAAGTCCATGGTCTGCTCAAGGCTGGCAAGCTGCTGTTCTGATACAGGTTAATCAGGGAGTGGGGGGAGAGGGCACTATTTGTGCAGGTTAAAGAGCACCCACACCCTCTCCGATCAAATTTGACACTGGCCAGAAGAACGCACTACTAACAGAGCCTTAAGAAATTCCATGCTGGGGACAATTCCCTATGATACTCTAAAGGTTCCTTGTAGTAAACTTCCTTTCAAGGACCCAAGTTTTGTTTTTGTCAGACTAATTTTAGTGTTGTGTTCAATTCAGGAGCACGCCAGCCGCCCCCTTTCCCCAGCCCCCCTCTGGTCTCCTTCAGTGCAGCCCCCTTTCTTGCTGAGCTTTGAGAGAGAGGGGCTAGGTGGCAGAGTGCCTTTCTTGGGCGTTCCTAACAGAAACCTGTTCATGAACCCCTTCCAGTCTTATTACTTTGACCGCGATGATGTGGCTTTGAAGAACTTCGCCAAATACTTTCTCCACCAATCGCATGAGGAGAGGGAACATGCTGAGAAATTGATGAAGCTGCAGAACCAACGAGGCGGCCGAATCTTCCTTCAGGATATCAAGGTAAACAAAAGCTCCTAGAAATACCCTGCTTCGTGTTTATCCAGCAGTCCTCAGATGCCAGAAATCCCCAAGGTAGCGGTTGGCGTTACAAAATGGGGTCACTTTTGGGTTCTGTGCTTGTTTTAGGCTTATCGTTTCAGCTAGACGAGGTGAACGGTTACGGGCAAGGATGTTAGGTTGGAAACAGTTGGAGAAACGTGGATGTCCCTTTTGCTGAAGCACAGGTCACGTGTTAGGCGCTTGCTGGCTAGTGGGTTAATGGGTAGAAGCTACCGCTGCGGTGATGTGACCTCTTTCAGAAGCCAGACCGTGACGATTGGGAGAACGGGCTGAATGCGATGGAGTGTGCATTACACTTGGAAAAGAGTGTGAACCAGTCACTACTGGAGCTGCACAAACTGGCCACTGACAAAAATGACCCCCATGTGAGTAGAAGCAATTGGGGATGGACTGGAAGGAGTCCTTTGCCTCTTGGGGGCTGGGGAAACTTAACCATTAACTAACTTCCCCGTTCTGTTCTCTAGTTGTGTGACTTCATTGAGACTCATTACCTGAACGAGCAGGTGAAATCCATCAAAGAATTGGGTGACCACGTAACCAACCTGCGCAAGATGGGGGCCCCCGAATCTGGCATGGCAGAGTATCTCTTTGACAAGCACACCTTGGGAAACAGTGATAATGAGAGCTAAGCCTTAGGCTGTCTTCCCAGAGCCACCTGGTCCCTGAGGCCACGCATGCATGTTGGGGTTACCTTTACCTTTTCTATAAGTTGTACCAAAACATCTACTTAACGTCTTTCATTTGTACCATTCCTTCAAATAAAGTAATTTGGTACCCAGTTATTGTCCTTTGAGTTCTTGGGCTGGAAATGTATGTAGATCGTCCTTGCAAAGAAACCTGTTCAAGTGCTGGAAGTTGAATCACAGTGACCAGCATGAAATGCTTGGGAGGAAAGTTCTTAGTTGGGAAAAGATAACCAAGGCTGAGTGTGTGAAATTCAGACAGGACTTAAGGACTCCTGATTCCGTGTTCAGTGGTTCATTCCAGGTTTTCATGATTTTTATGTACGAAAGGCATTTAAAAGTTAAGTCCTGAAACTGGATTTTGTTACCCATTAAGCTAACCGTTTAATTCAGGCTGTCCTACGAACACATTCTTCAGTGTGGACAGCTGTATGGCTGTGACTGGATCAGTGTCCCGCTGGTGTACGTGCAGGTAGGACCAGGCCAGTGAAGCATCCCCCCTTGGGAAGCAGGCTAAGAATGTGCTTCATCCCTAGAGAGAATGGGAGAAAGTTTACAATGTGAGTCTGGAAGATAATGTTAAGTGGAGAGTTACAGCAAAGGTTAGGACCCCTAAAATACAAAAAGGAGTGTCCGGGACCTGCAGAGCCAACTCCCCTTGCTAATGACTATGTTAATGTCCTTTCCCAAACTGCAGTGATGGGTAGAAATTTGTTTAGATCTAAGACTACCTCTTCCAGGTTTTTCGTAACTACTTCAAAAGTGACTGCTTGGAAATCTAGAAAACGGGATGTTCAGTTCTCACATGATAGCTGTAATGGGTAGAGTGAATCTAACAGTGAGATCCGGAATGTGGGGAAATGGATGGTTTTGTGACACCAGTGGGTTGATCCCAAGGAGGCACAAAGCACATTTATGTTCAGAAGTCTTAGGTACCCCAAAGCAGTGAGGTATCCCAAGGGACCTGGATACCCTTACCTTAACCATTTGCCAGTTTCCAGGGGTGTAACACTTTCTGGAAGTACTTCAGGATCACTAAGGTTATGGGGGAGTCTTCATATATGATCCCTGGGCAGTGGGGGGGGTCCTTGGGCTCAACCCCAAACCCCCCCCCCCCCCCCCCCCGCCCCCCGCTCTGCCTCATGGTTTTGCATCTGCTACTCAAAGTGAGCTGGGTCCAGGCATAACATCTGAGCGCTTAAGCCTGGCTTGGCCACCAGCCATCCTTCCTGTCCATGCAACCTCACCTTCCCTTCACCCAGGACCCAGGGAGCTCTTCCCTAGTGATGTCAAAAGCTCTCAAACTTCCTAGGGCTCTTGCTGAAGTGGCCAGGTGTGTGCCCCAAGCCAGTGCTGGTAAGTATGGCATGCTCTGGTGGTGAGGGAACCATAGAAAAATGGGCTCCCAGGAAGGTAGAAAGGTGCAATCACAGCAAGGGAAGGTCAGGTGGGCCTTCCCACCCATGGGGGTGGGGGGAGGTGAAATGACCCTTAAAGGTAGAGAGGACAGACCTGTTTTCCAAGGCCCAATAAGGATCTTCATGACCTTTCAGTATAGTGTGTAGGTTAGTTGATTGGTCCAAATGTGATTCTTTGAAATGATGTCCAGGGGTCTCCGACATGTCTGTCAGGTTAAACTCGACAGTTTTCCTCTTCATGTGACCCAATTCTGGGGGCTCTGCTGAGGACCCAGCACTATCTGGAAGCAGTTCGAAACTGGTCTTTGTCCCAAGAGTCAGGGATTGTAGGCTTTGGTCTTTGACAGCGCCGTCTGTACCTGAGACTCTGCGAAGGCTTGAGGGTGCTGACTGTCCAGGTGGGAAGACCATAGGTGTGTGGTTGAGGGGTGTCTGGGGGGCACTGTGGTAGCCTGACCTCCCGTACAGTGCTGCAGTCTCAAAAGCATCCTCCCCCTTAATCCTCCAGGCCTTGCTGTTTTCCTGGTCTCTAGAGTTCTGCCTGGTACCCCCGAGTTTCTTGAGCTGGCCCTCATGGAGAAGGGCTTCTTTTTTGGGCCACAGTAGTTTGGTCTTTGAGTTTGTCCTGGGGGGATGGTAGTCGTGGGACTGTAGCCCTAGGAAGCGGCCAATGATACCAGTGTGTGTGCCCTCCTCTTCCTCTTCCTGTGGGTTTGACCAAAACTCCACGTCCTCCTTATGCAGACTGGAAAGAAGTGTGAGACTCGGGGTTGAGTAGGGCACAAAGGACCAAAGCCAGACCCGACTTCTTTTTTATCCCTCTTTTCCCTCCTTTTGACCCAAAGCCAAGAACACACAGTGTTCGTCACAATGCCTGGACCCACCTCTCTCCTGACCTGTCCTGTACTGCACTGCCCTCTTACTCCTTCCCAGCCCAGCTCACCTCACTGTTCTGTGGCCCCCTCTTGCCCACGATCACGAAACTCCCTAGCCTGGCTCGTGAAGGGCGCTCTCCTCGTCTCCATCTTCTCCGACATCCCTCCCTCCAAGCAACCCGAACTACTGGACCCCGGGTGTGGTGGGTGAGATCAGGCCCAGGAGTGACTCTGGGTAGCCTGGGGATCAGCATCCACAAAGAGAAGTGTGGCCCCCTGGGAGCCCAAAGCCTTTACTCTGCAGGAGAAAGCCCACTATCCCAGAACGTGGCCTGTCGCCGGTGTCCACATTCTCCCCATGCTTCAAGGCCCAGCTGCCAGGACAAAGGTGGTCTCTCTTCTATGTCCTGTCTCTCCCAGGCATCTAGTACCGTGTACCTTGTGTCCAGAGTTCGGGCTTTGGGTGTGAGCCTCCTCACTAAATTGTGTGTTCCTTGGAGACAAAGTCTATATATAATATTCTCTGTTCCCCACCCTACCCTCAGCCATTAGAGCACAGATCATATGGAATTCAAAAGCAACTTCCAGAAATGTTTCTGACCTAAGCATGTCTCCATCCTTCATTTGATCACTTTTTTGAACCTTCCTCACAACCATGAAGAACTCTAGCTAATTCAAATTATGGTTTAGTAGGGCATTTGGTTTTTAAAAGATAATATACTTAATACTGTGGAAGAAAACCTGGATGGTAAGGACCCTGACACACAGAGGACTCTCCAAAGTCCTCTCCACTGTCTTACAGCAGAGAGAGGACAGTCTGGGAGGGCCTGTCAGGCCAATGTGGCCCAGCTGCAGCTCACAAGGGAATCAGACCAAATCAGAGAAACGGGACCCAGGTGCAGGAAAGTTCAGCTGCTGTGGGTGACCCAAGGCCTGTACTGTAGCAGAGACTACCCAGAAGGTACCTGTGATGAATCAGCCTCTTGCTGGTACATGCTTGCCCCACCCCCATCCCTGGGGACGCCCCCCCCCCTCTTCACTACCCATCTAAACATCCTGGCTTATCAGAAAGTGTAGCTCTGGACCAGAGTCAGGAACCAGGCTCTGCCATTCCAACTGCATCACTGATCACTGTCAGGCCTTGAGTAAGTCCCTTCTTTCTCTGGGCCTCAATTTCCAAGTCTGGGCGTGGGAGGCTTAGGCTGGAGGCCTTATAGGTTTAGAAGTTACTAAGCTGTATAAGGTAAGGATTGCAGGTGTGGAGGTAGAAGCAGACATACCTGGTCCCAGTGCTCCACTTGCTAACTATGTGACCTTGGGCTGGGCAACCTATTTAACCTCTCAACTTGGACTTAATCATCTGAAAACTCGAGATACCAAACCAGGGTTATTGGGAAGAAAAAAATAGTTTATATAAAGAGCTTAGCGGAGTTCTCAGCACTCAGCATGCATCCAATACATATTAACTAGAGCTTTTCCAAGTTCTCGTGCGTGGGCTTTCCCACCCACCAACGTGGTTCCCTGGCACTGCTCACCTGATGTTGAAGGTGGAGCCTAAAAAGGAGGCTCGACGAGACTGGGCAGAAGCAGCTGTGTAGGGGGGTTGTGGTTCCGGCTCATTCCAGTACATATCCCTCTCCATCGGGGGCAGGTCCTGGTGCATCTCATCCACAGCCAACAGGGACACCTGGTTCCCAGGCACAGAAGGAGAAGCCCAAAAAGCAAGGTCAGCCCAAGCGGGACCGTGGTCTTCCTGGATGACCTGGAAAGGTCACGTCCCTCTCTCTGGGCCTTAGTTTCCTCACTTGTGAAATGGACAGACTGATGTCTATATGCAGCCTCAAAAGCTGGGGTGAGAACCCTGTGAGTGAATGGTTGGCTGGTGGGGAGAGAGCAATTCACCAGGAGGCCTCCCTACAGAACCGTGGGGCCCCCTCTTTGGGTTCAGTTCAGGGAAGGTCCGCGGGACAGGCTCCCTCTCTCCCCGAAAACCTGCAAGCTCCTGTCGACAATCCAGTTGGTCTCAAAGTCATCATCATCCTCTCCAAATGGGTTGATGAGCTGCTCTGCCACCTTGGAGAGAGGGGAGGGGGCTCTGGAAGTCCTCAGGCAGACTCCCTGCAGCCTTGCTCCGCGCCCTTAAACTTCTGCTCTTGCCCTTTCCACACCACCCGCCACGATGCCCCTCCTGCCTAACCACCATCTTCAAAATCAGTATGTGAGGGCTCCAGCCACCCACGCTCATAGGGCCCCGCACACAGTCCCCCGCCCTTCAGGTCATCGAGCCTGAGCCCCTCTCCTATGCCTGCTGCTCCCTCAACACCCAGAGCTGTCCTTGAGCCTGTCACTTAATAGAGTCACCCCCGTCCCTCCCCTCCCTGTATCTTTCCTGGAGCTCCACACATCTCTGCATTAGGCCCCCCGGACAAATCTCCACAGCAGTGAGGGGCTGCACTAAGGGTTAAGAGACATCCTCTAAGCCACTAGGGAATTTCGAGCAGAAAAATGGTGTGATCTGGTTTGTGCTTTAGAAACGAAAGATGACTGCAGGGATGAGGATGCGGATAGGGATGAGGGAATATCTGTGTGTGTGTGTGTGTGTGTGTGTGTGTGTGTGTGTGTTTCACACACACGTGAAATGTGGATGAGAGGGAGGGAGGGGGCCATTTACCATCACCACCACTACCAAAAAGTAAAGGAAAAAAGGAAGAGACAGAGAGTGTGGGAGAAACAGAAGAAAAATAGGGATGCGGAGAAAACTGTGTTCTTCAGAACTCCTGTTAGGAGGAGCCCTGGATGAAGTGGG